GACTGCACCCCAGACCTCCTCGACATCCCAACATCAGCGCCTGACCTCACTAATGCTCTTGTAGCTGAATGAACACAAATCCCCACAGCCACGCTCCAACATCTAGTGGAAAGCTTCCCAGAAGAGTGGAGCTCATTATAACAGCAAACACAGGGGAATAAATCTGGAATGAGATGTTCAACAAGCACATATGATGGACAAGGGCTGTGATGGTCAGTTGTCCACAGACTTTTGGCCATATAGTGTATAATATCAGTAGAGGTTAAAAACTGTACTGCAGTCAGCCATTAGAGAGCATCAGAGACATTTTGGCTTCACTTTTGAATCGCTGTTATGACGTCCACCTTTATACAGTCATCAGTGGGACCTCTGAAGTTGAATATTTGTATGATAAAAACAGACGAAAACATAAAAGAGAACAAAGTTAATCTCATTTTGCGAAGCTTCTCCAGCAAAGCGCCCAAATTTTTATGCATGGTACAGCAAGGTACCATGGGATCGTGGAGAAAGCAGAGAGAAGACGCACTGTTTTGTAATAAACAAAATTAGCTTGTGGTATCGGTGAGGAAGACGCTTGACCACGAAGCATAGTAACAATACAGTTACTCTTTTATCATCAAACTCACACTTGGCTTGGTGTTTAGCTACAGAACGAACTAACGGCGGGTAACGAAACGGTGACAATGAACACTAAACGAATATAAAACAGCACACAACCCATTTTTACACTAATATAAACACTTAATCTAACAAAACACAGACATCAGATAATAACGAGGACACCGCAGGATGTCTCATGGATATGCAGATTACACATTAATACATTTTAAACATAAATGATACAAATGAAATGCTTTTATGTTTGTAATAATGATAAATTCTGTTTAGCACTTATCTAAAGCATCCAGTTTGGTTTAATGATGAAAGTATTGCAGCCTTTTAAATGACAGAATTGTCAGGCGGAGATCCTACAGCCAAAAGCTCTGGGTTGCAGTTTTATTTATTATAAATCTGCTTTAAATCATGTCATACTGGCTTCATTTAACTTGATATTGCTTTGATATTGCTTCTGAAGCAAGAGTCATGAAACAAATCCTAGACAAAATAACAACCACCCTGGTGATAAAGAAGAATTTATTTTTTACACTGAAAATGCTGAAATTTGTCTTGCGTTGCCTTTTATTTATTCAAACCCAAGCTTCCCATTATCTCCACAAGGTTTATTTAGGGTTATTGTGCAGCATTTAACCCAACCTTAGTGCTACTCAATAAACTATCCATTAGTGTTTACTTGATGCACAGCTGAAATTTTGGAGATTCCACAGCAAGTCCCTGGAGATGCGCTTACCCATAAACTCCTTCTCTGCATCTTGATGTTTATGTGCTTCTTCACAAAAACAAGGCTAAATGAAACCTAATAGGCATTTAAAGCACACATCTCTTCCTAACATCCTCCCACCAGTGAAAACTGTGTCAAACCTGAAAAGGAAAGGAGAGATGCATCTGAAGACGTGCTTGTTCTGTGTGGTGGGGAAATATTGGTATCAAAAACCGCATCATTATTACAACCTGCTCCCTGAGACACTGCTTAAAAACTAAACAATTTACTCTTGGACCTGGCAGTATAAGTGTGTTTTTATCGTCACTCCCTCACACCAGGGAACAGGAGCACCTTGGAGGCAAAAACAAAGCTGGGCCAAAACAACTGCCAGCGAGACATTTGAGATGATCTTTGCTCTGACATTTTGCTCTTTACTGTGTTCTGTAGAACATCTGCAGGCCATTTTATCAGAAAATATCTTTTTATTGTTTTTCATGAGTGGTTGCAGATGGTTGTTTTTTTTTCACTAGAACAATGTGTGATGGTTGAAGAATATGCTGCATCTCTTTATCTCCTATACTTTCTTTCAGGGGTTCTCAAACCTGGTGCAGCTAGAGAGCCCTTAAACTGTGAAATATTCAATTTAATTCAATTTTATGTGTAGAGCGCTTTCAACAATGGACACTGTCACAAAGCAGCTTTACAGAAATTTAAATGTATGAATTTATCCCTAATGATCAAGCCAGAGGAGACGGTGGTGAGGAAAAACTCCCTGAGACGATCTGAGGAAGAAACCTTGAGAGGAACCAGACTCAAAAGGGAACAAATCTTCATCTGGGTGACACCGGATAGTGCGATTATAAATAAATCCCTTCTATAACTGTGTACTACATGGACAAATAGTGCAGTTGTGTAACACAGTTTACACATGAAGTCTGTTTTGTTGAAATTATCAAACTGTTCACTGATGGAGACTTGAGTGCAAAACTGTTCATATCAATTGAAGTCCAAATCCATTCAAAATAAACTCCATGGATGCACTTCGGCCCGTTTTTTCCCCCACAAACATTATTTAAAGATTTTGTCTAATTATTATTTCTATTCCTGAACTTTCTACTGAAGAATACATTAAGTCCAAGTTGATATTATTTATAAACCTACTAGTTTTTGAGTTATTGAGATTGGGATCAAACCCAATTAAAGTCAAATAAGCTAATGATTACAAAAACTCAGTAATAAATATAATAATTTTAATAATGGTGGGTTGTGATAATCGACTGTCCGAATACACGTAACTACCAGACATACATCTTCAAGTCCTGGTCATGCTGCCTTGTAGCTATGTTGGCTAGCTAGCTATGCTATGTTATGGGACAACTGGGAAGTTTATCTCAGCAGAAAGTATCGTTAACATTAGCAAAAGTTAGTTAGTTTTAAAATTTTTTCCCCATTCCTTCTCCCTTTCCTCTACCTTGGGATTTTTTATTACTCACCCGGATGTGAAGAACCGCTCGGCTTCTGTGCTCTTAAATACTTTGAGGCTCTCCAGAATTGTGAAATCTGAGATGCTTTTCTGCTCACCATGTTTGTAAAGAGTGGTTATTTGAGTTACCTTTGAGTTAGCCTTCCTGTCAGATCGACCCAGCCTTTCCCTGACCTCTCTCTTCAACAAGCTGTTTCAGTCCATAGATCTGCTGCTCGCATTCTGTTTTTTTTTTTGTTTGTTTGTTTTTTGCACCATACTTTTTTCCCTTATTGGAAGGAATTCACATAATTATAGTTGTTGCTTTGTTACCATCATTATTCCATCTACAAAGCTGCAATAGAGTTGAGCAAGAAGATAAGATATCAAGAGAAAGAGAGAGAGAAAAAAGAAAAAAAAACAGTTCAGTGGAAAGGAAAAGAAAGAAAAGACAGTAACTTCAAATGAAGAAGAAAGAAAGAAGATAAAAGACAAATGCATGCTGTGACTATTAATAATTAAAGATGAGGATAGTTAACAAGTTATATGCATAAATATTTTACCAAGAGAAGGTGTGGAAAGAGGGATCAGTTCTCAGTGTAATGTAAGATGTATGATCAAGTGAAATGATCTGTCGATATTTCTTCTACCAGGAGTTTAACCCAAAGAAATATCCAGTTCATTAGTATAATCTGTTTAGCAATGGTGAGTGATGTTGGTATAAAGGGTTTGAGATGGCTGGGTATCTAACCAACATTTAGCGATGTAAGGACACAACCAGAAGGCGTGATAGTAATCATCTCTGGACGTGTATTACTGTGGCACTAGGATTGACTACGAGCCATAGGTGATGTGTATGTACATAGATTGCTTCTTGTTTCAGTCACTCACCTCTCCAAACCTGTTGTGTTTTGGTTTTCTCGCTGTAGAGTCAGGGCTTAATTCAATGATTCTTATGTGTCCAGGTCATTTTTTGACATTTTTCATCATGTTTTTTGAACTGGGGTTAGATTCTTTAAAGTCCTCATTCTGTATCCACATATTTTAACTTAGCAACAGCCACAGCAAATGAAGGTGCAGATGAAAAACGCTCTGTGTGTGTGTGTGTGTGTGTGGACCATGCTGAGCTACTGATTTAACATGTCTGGCAGGCTGTGTGTGTGCAATGGGGGGAGAGGTGCCAAGCTTCAACTGTACTGAATGCCAAACATGGAGGGAATGAGTGACAGTGATTGGAGCAGGTCGGGCTGATTGGCAGGTCTGGTGCTGGCTGGTGATAGCTATTGTGATTATATGATGGATGCAGAATTTGGGAAAAGTGACAAGGTCAGCAGACCATTTGCAAGACAGTTGTAGAAGGTTTTTTATTTGTTGCCAGGACAGCATAGTAACGAATGCTGTCCATAACGCTGTCATGACCTGTTATGGCAGGAAATGGGCCGTGGTATAGATAGAAACTTTAGGACATTCTTTTCTGTCTGGCCTCGAACTGACCTGCATTTACTGTCTGTTTTGTTAGGAGTGTAACACAATTCCTCAGTCTGTGTCTTACATTTTTACATTTATTGCATTTGGCAGATGCCCTTATCCAGATTGACTTACATTTACTTCATTTTTTTTATACAACTGAGCAGTTGAGGGTTAAGGGCCTTGCTGATGCTGGGATTTAAACTCAAGACCTTCTGATCAGAAGTCCATAATCTTATCCACTCAGCTACCACCACCATCTTTATCTGTATCTGTTTAGTGCTCCAAATATCCGTATCTGGATCAGTATTCGGACTTAAATCTGAAGTGGGAGTGGCCTAAATTGGAAAGCTGTTATTGTTTACGTTTAAAAAAAAAGTTTAAATATGAGCTCTACCACTAACACTGGAAATGAAAAACCCTCAGAGGTAGAAATGCCAGCACTGTCAGCATGGTGTGTGAATTCTGGCTCTGATAGTTCCTCAACCTCAGCTACATCACTCGAGTTCACCTGAATTGGGTTAAAGTAGAGACGTGTGCTGATTGCAGGTATTTTATTTATTTGTACACATCTGCTATATTTAGTTGGTTATTTATCCCAATACAAATAAATTAGTAACCCTGACCAGGCAGTTACTAAGGATGCTCGGCGCAGGTCTTTCATTGTCCCATGAGCTTCATATCTGACCTCTCACTCATGCCTGCATACAAATAAAACCCTTTTATTTTATTGTGTCTGTGGCATCTCAGTTGTGATGCACAACTTAACCAGATGGCATGCTTTCTAAAAAAATAAAGCAACAATGTGCCTCTTATTTGCGTCTGTATGTGTCTGTTTAGAACACGCTATCTGTAAAATGCCCTATAATGTATTCGGTTACATCTCTTCTTTAGACGTACAATGGACTGAACCATGTTTAGCATTCATCCTTGATTTTGGCCTTGCAATTTTGTTTAATAAAGGTGTTTGTGTGTGTGTAGCGTGTCTCTCATGGAACGGAGCTTTTAATAGATCCTGAGATTGAGTCCTAATCTTCTGTTTACTACTCCTCCTTACCCTCATTAACTGCTGCTGTCACTGTTTCCACGAGCAGATTTAATTAGTGTGTGCTTGTAGAAATTGACAATATCTGTCTTACGCACTCGCATACTGCTTCACGTTATTCCTTATTCCCTTGTTTCATCCACGCCGATTCTTTCACTCAGATACTCATGTTCATTTTACAAAGAACTAATTTGTTTGTTTATTTCACAGAAGTTGGGACATTTCTCACTGTGATGATGCACATGTAGCATCTTTTATCCGGCAGATGGGACCCGCTGGTACTTCACAGAAGCACCATACAGGCTGGGCAGGCTAATGTAGCACAAGTAGACCAGGTGGTCTGCAAGTGATGGTTTAGCCTGATGTGCTGATGCATGTCAATGAAGAAGAAGGTGCAATACCAGCTTCCAGGTTTTTCCTTTTCTACCTCCACCAATATGCTCCTCCCAGCTGGAGCTGTTTTATTTTTTAGGAATACAGGCAGGTAAGAGGATGGATGGAGTGTCTCTGTGCACCTCTCTCTCTCTCTCTCTCTCTTTTAAGAATTTTATGCTGTTTATTTTCTGACAGGAACATGTTTTAGGAATGATTTCTCAGGCAGAAGGACGCCAGTTCAAAGAGCAACATGAACAGTGGAAATGCACTAACAAGAAAACTTTCAAATTATTTGTTTGAAATTCTACATCATATTTTTTTTTTTTTAACTAATCCTAATCCATTAATTGTCAGCACACACATTTGTCTTACTATCCTTGTCAGGACTTTCCTCTAACATCATTAATAATGCAGCTAATTAATGCTATGCGACACCTAAATCTAACCTTAACCTTAAAGTTAGTAAAGAAAAGGCTCTTTTAGTTTTGTTTATCTGAAGTCTTTTTTGGAGGGAAAAAAGCAGTTTTCCACACAATGCACCACTCAAATGTCCCCACAAGGTGAAAACTGTCAGATATTCCCATCCTTGAGGAGACATTTGTTCCCTCCCAAGATATAAAAACATGCTCACACACAGGGCTTTGAGAAATATCGCTTGTAACTGTAGGGTAATGTTTTAGATTTTTGCTTGAGGATAGGATAAAGAATTCTAGCTGTGAATGTTCCAGTAATGAGATTACTAAAACCTGGGTATTCTGGCAATATTGTGGTGACAGTGTGTGATTGGGCTGTTTATACCATCCTGTATCGTGGATAGAAAAAGAATACACACTCTTTAACTATTTTCATACTTAGATGGTCTATAGGCTGGAGTTAAACTAGCTAATCCGTGCAAAAACTTAACAATGCCGAAGTGAGAAGCTAACAATAAAACAATTTTAACATTATTTAATCATGAACAACTACAATATCTTGGTTTGACAACTATACACCCTTTTCTGTCTAACATCCCTTAAATGATCTCAGGAATAACCATTTGCTTTCAAGGTCACATCATCACTTGATTTTGTCAACACCTGTGTAGAATCATAGCAATCAACTTGACAGCTTGAATAAAAACAGCTGTTTATTTTGGCCCTTCAGTTTTCAAGTGCAGATCCACGCAAAGGCAGCAGCGTGGGCTTTAAAGACAAACAACTCCATGACAAAGTTATGTAAAGGTACACATTAGGCAAGGGATATAAAAGATTTTCAAGACTTGGAAGACACCCCAAAGCACTGTTATGTCCGTCATTAAGAAGTAGAAAGTCTCAGCATCCATCAAAACTAGATGACCAGGACAGAAGACACTTTGTCTGAGAGGCCACCAGGAACCAAATGGCAACTTTGAAAGACCTACAGGTTTTTATGGCCAACAGAAGAAAACATGTGCATCACACAACAATGTCCAGGATATTGCACACATCTGGAGTGCCGTGTGAAGTTTGCACAAAGACACCTGAAGGATCCTGCAACAAACCGGCAGAACGTTTTGTGTTCAGAAGAAACCAGAGTAGAACTTTTTGGCATGAATGCCAACACGGCCCATCACTAGAACAACACCATCCCGACTGTGAAGCATGGTGGTGGAAGCATGATCTTGTAGGATGTTTCTAGTTGTCAAGATTGAGGGGAAGATGAATAGAGCCAAGTACTGGGAGATTCTGGGGAAGAACCTAATGAAATCTGCAAAACATCTGAAAATGGTTTGGAAATTCATACTCCAGCAGGAGAGTCACCACAAGCATAAGACCAAAGCTTCCATGCAGTGGCTTGCTATGAACAAGGTGGATGTTCTGAAGTGGCCTAGTTGAAATCCTGAACTAAATCCTATTGAAAATCTACAGAATGATTTGAAGGTTGCTGTCTGTCAGTGAAAACCAACTAACCTCTCCCAGCTGGAACAGCTCTGCAAAAAGGAGTGGGGGAAGATCTCCAATCTACCCACTGTATTATTGTAGCTTTGTGTAGACTTATAAATCTGTCTCTCAAATGGATTACACAGTACAGCAATGCTGTGTAGAGCATTTCTGTATTTGTACGGTTAGACTATCAGACACAAACACATTTATTGTTAAATTTGAAACCATTTGAAAATAAACATGGTTGGATAGCAAATTGTTTAATGCACACAAACTACTTTTAATTTTACTTTTTTCATAAAGGAAGCGCTTATTAGTTTAAACAGAAGTCTGGTACTATTTCTTTAAGATAATGTGTAGGTATTGGATGAGGTACATAAGCTAATGATTTTGTGGAGAAGAACAGTGAAATTAATTCAGTCTATTGGATTGGGGTTAAAGATTCTCATCACTCCAGTGATGTGGGAATATTCATCTCTAATTAGTTTATAATCAGGTATCAAATTATAAGCTATGTACTGCTGGTATTTGTGCCTCAGTGGTGGTTTTATTCCTAGTTAACTTTTCTAAATAAAATTCTGAATTATTTTTGAGACGAAAGTACCCCTTCTATGATGTTATTTACTTTCTAACTTTCAAGTGGTCTGTTTTAAAGTAATGACTTTTGACTATGAAAGTCTCTAAATTATGAGCCAAAGGTGAATGTAATTTTATGTAATCACTTTATTAATATTGAAAAGAGTAAACATATGTAATTTAGGTCAGCCTCAAAGATTCTTGAATAAAGTGCCATGTGGCGTGTCAGTTATGTGTAAAGTCTGGAATGAGTTCGAAGCGAGAAATTAACTTCCTGTTCTGGTATGTGAGAACAAATCAACATTGTTTTTTCTGAGCTCTTATATCTGACTCTACAGGATTTGCAGAATGTTTTTTTTTTCATCAGTTAATTGCATCAACCCCATTTTTCTCTCTCAGGGCCAGATGCGCATACATGAGAAGGCGCTGCAAAAACCCCGAAACAAAACGTGGTATTATGTGGCTGTAATAACATTCAGCTTACTAAGACTAAAGCTAATCACATAATCAGTTCCTCCTACTGAAGCCATTGCCACTTAGTAATTGCTAGTAATATGGAAAAGAAAATTCAAAGCGTGTTGAAGCTTTACAGGGAACTATGTTGAAAAAATGTTTGTTTCTTGAGCATTCAAGTGCCCACTGGAGGCCTCTGGTGGTCAAAAAATTAAAAGTCTGTGTACCATGTGAAACTGATGACCGCATCATGAGGCCAAAATAAAATACAACTGATGTAAGCCATGTCATAAAGGAATAAAGGAAGTGTATTATGTTTGAATAGTTTATCGTTTAATACTTAAATGCTTCCGTAGAAACCTCTTCTCAACACCTGAGCTGTTTGTTTGCATGAATGTTGAGACGTGTGTCTGTCTCTCAGCTGTGTGTACGAGGCAAGTGCATTAGGTGATCAGTTATCATGACAAATGGAAATGAGTTTTCTTAATGAAGCACAGATACAGCAGACACAATAACATTATACAAGGATGCCTGATGTATTAGTCAATTCACACTTGACATTTGTAGCACCTTGCTGATTAATTATTTAAATACATTTTATAAAATGCAAATGTGATAACCAGAATGTTCAGTAAGATGTTATGGAACAGTTTCACAAAAAGAAGAAGAATAACTGGTTAAAATATCGCAACATTTTGTCTGGTTTAGAAAAAAAACAGCAGCGAGCCGTTTGGGAGTCGAAAGAGTCGACTCTTGTTGGTGAGCCGAGCTGAATAAAATGACTCGCTGAAAAGAGTCGGAATTCCCATCACTGCTATTAGTTTGGTTTTAGGTCACTGTTATAGGTCATGTCTTTAAGATTAAAATCTACGAAGGAATAGTGTGCGTCAGTGGGACAGTTTCAGGAC